AAGCCATAATCATACAGATGCTCATGAACATGATTAAGACGTAAAATGTGGGTTCCTACACTAGTGGTTTTAAATTCTTATTCTAAAGACCAGTGTCCTATACTTTCATAGTCTTCACACTTTCATGTGAATCTTGGTTCATTATATTTCTCTTCTATAGGAATTCTTACACTATGATCTACGTTACACGGACTCGGGTGCGGGTATCGGGTACGGGTGTGCATCTAAGGGTTGCGCACTTTAAAATTAAAAATTAAGGATACGTGGATATGGATCCAAATTAGGATACGAGTACGGGGATACGTTAAATAGTTATTTTTAAATGTATTTATTATTTTTATCTTAGGTATTATTTTTATTGATAATATTTTTTATTTATTTTTTATTTTTAATTGATATATATATTATAAATAAAAAAATATATAACAAATAACGAATAATAAAATATGTTAAAATAAATAATAAATAAAAATTGAATGATTTATTTTATAGATTTTATTAGATTTTTTATTATATATGATTTAATTAGATATTTTATTAATGGCTAAAACATCATTTTATCCTTTTATTTTATTTTTTTGGGCCAATGAAGTTAAATGATGATGAATCATGGCCCAAAGTTTCATCCAAAACCCAAATACAAAACGGGCCGATACTTCCCCTCCATTAAGGCCCATTAGGGCTTTGCCTAGCTTTTTATATATATAAAGGTCTCTTCAACAACCCTAAACACAAACACAGAGACAGAGGGAGCTCTCTCTTTCTCTTTCATTTCCATCGCCTACACGAGATCGGCGAATTGGTCGGTGTCCAAGCATGGTGCACGTTTCCTATTATAGCAACTGTAAGTCTTCTCTACAAGATCGAAGAAGAAGATCGAAGAAGATTAAAGAAGAAAAAGAGCAGTGACGAGAGACGACGAGCAACGACCACCGAAAACCAATAAGGTCTTCTCTCTTTCTCTTTTGTTCTCTCTTTCTCTTTCGTGCTTCATAGCTTCTGAGTTGTTTTATTTCCACTAATGATTCCATCTTGGACAGGATCGCGTTTCTCTTTATAGAAACGTAATTCTTACACGTTTCTTTCTAAGAAACGCGGAATCGCATTTCTTACGAAGATTCGTCACCTGGTTGCACGATTCTTACAACCAAGACACAAACGTACCTAGTATATACCCAAACCGTACCATACCGTACCATACCTTAGTAAAAATAATATTTCATTTTACTACAGAGATTAAATTTCTTTCAGTAGATTTCTTTTTAATTTTTAATTTTATACTTAGCATGATTTTAAAATAAGCTATGATTTGTAAGTTATTTAATATAATGATATTTAGTTTTGGTTTATACCTTTACTTTTGACATTAAATGTTAATTGTATGTTGGATCTTAACAAATTAAACCATTTAATCAATTTTTGCATTACTCCAAACTAAAAATAAATATTTTTTTACAAACGTACTAAGTCGTATCCATACCTTACTTTTTTCCAAATTTTAACGTATCGACGTACCCATATCGTACAGGTATCAGTACTTGTACCCATACCAGTGCTTCATAGTTGAAGCCTCAGTTAGTAGTCTAGGAAGCCTGGCTAATGGTTCGTTATGGGTATGCCTATACGGAAAAATCTAAAAAAAAATAAGATAAATGTACAGTTAGTTATGTGATAAGAAAAAAAAAATTTGTTATTTATAATAGTACATGATATATAACAATTTAAAAATCAAATGCACAAAATAATTAAAGTAATTTTTAAGTTTATAAAAATACGCACAACATACCCCTCTATTTTTAAAAAATTACATTTATGTCCGCAATGTACCCATAATTGTACCCGAAATGTACCCATAATTGTACCTGAAATGTACCCATGGCGTACTAACCCTGTCTGTCTAAGCCACACTTGTATACTTGTTGTGTACCCGATATTAGGCATGGACAAACGTCGGGCTGAGCTGACATTATATAATAAGGGATTTTGTGTTTACCCAAGCTAGGCCCGGTTCGGCCCTAACATCGGGTCTTTATATATTTGTTCAAGCCTGGTTCAAAAAATAATTATAAATCTCAATCCCACCAATTGGGCTATTGTCATAAAAGATTCGAGCGGCTTTTTTACATGTTGGTTGTAGGCTACCTAACACACAACTCTCCTCCTTAACCTGGCTTGGGACCGACGGAGTTGTTAACAACCCTGGCGGAGTTATAAAAGCACTAAAGAAGAGTGAGGGGAAAAAAAAAAAAAACTAGTTGCCATGTCCCCAAAAAATAAATTGATAAAATAGAGGGATATGCCAACTAGCGCATCACATACATGTCCTCCCCCACCCCCCCCATGTTGTGTTGCCTCCGCCTTGTCCCGTGGCCCCTTGTCATTCGACATCACTACAACACTTGTTTTGAAATAATATGTTCTTGTAGGCTTGTAGATATCTCTTTGTGGGCATTTTATTAGGGAGTCGCTATTTTCACTCCACTTTGCTCCAAATACGCTCCCTCTTGTATCCTTATAATACATAGAAGTGAGTGTATTTGGAGCAAAGTGGCGTGAGAATAGTAAGTATGCATAATAAGGACAAAAAAGGAAGTGTATTTAGGGCAAAGTGGAGTGGGAATAGCGGCTCCCTTTTATTATTGCCTGATTAATGGTCCGCTGGTAATCTAATTTTTTTTCCATTTTTAGTTCATCTACGTCTTTGGTGGGCATTTTATATATAAGAGTTATACTCATGCCATTTTTTGTGCTCACCATAGCCATAGAAAGAACCACAAGCTTAGATTGAGGGAAGGGGGAAGTTGCTTCCAAGATAACATTTTTTGAGTACCACCTAATGTTCTGATTTGGTAAATTCTTTATTACTAATTATTTGAAGTGACTAAAGGAAGCTTTTGGTAATTTGTTAAATTTGGCATGTATTGTCGGCACAAATGTCGACACCAAACTTGCAGCCAATCCTTGTTATATGTTGTAGTAGATGCTAAAAAATGAAATAATAGGCGGGATGATGATTTCAAGTATTGCCTAGTCCTGGTGCACCTACCAGAATTCCATACTAATTTGTATTATCCTATTCCTTTATATTGGTATTATTCTAATTTTTTGAGTTATTTTTATTTTCAGGATGTGTCATCAAAGATAATGTCATTCTCTCAGAATGGTCCAAGGGCTATTTGCATCCTTTCTGTAAATGGTGGCATGTTCAATGTGCCACTTCGCCAAGTGGCAACATCTGGTGGAACTGCAACATATGAGGTTTGTCTAACCTTGCTTTACAATGAT